TCATGAGAAAGGCTACCGGCTGAACTGGCACCGATGGACAGAATCTACCCATAGGTAATAGCTTTGATGATTTTTTTAGTCCAATGAAAGCAAGCAACACATGTTTCAATAAAGGTGGCTGCATAGTGTTTTAGTCTGATTATGACACACGCACCGGCGTTCTGTTTTCATGGGGAATTTTTGATGTTTTCTGTCGTGAAGATCACAAAACATCACCAGAATGTCATAAACAAGGGTCGGAATGTTGTTTTCTGTAGTTTATGTTATAATAACGGTGTTCATTCTTAAGCTTAACCGCACCAAAGGGAGGCTCTCGTTAGCCTTAATTTTTTTTTAATTTTACCCTTCTCCCATTTGCTTCTACCACAATTTTTCACAATATTTGAAATCTGACCATGCTCATCCCGATCATTTTAAATTCTGAAAAAAATAGGGGCTACAAAGGAAGTTTCTTCGCTTTTTGCAATTTTTTTTCTGCGGCTAACTTAGAACTCGTCTCATAATTGTTTTTCGTTAATTGAAAAAAAGGAAGGGCACAGGTTTAATAGATCACAAACGAGGTCAAAATGAGGTAAGAACAAATTTGGGGGTGTGGCACTGATGTTCTTTCCATATGATGACGTCATAGATAACTGAACAGGCGCACGGCAACGTGGGATCTATTTGTTTTATATAATAAGGGGCTAAGAGTGACTAGCATCTAATTTCTCCTTACATTATCACTACTGAATCAAACATTATTGTCACGAGAGTAAAGGAAATGATCACCAACCAAAAAAACCTATTGATTGTTAGATAAATTCACCTTGTCAGAACCTTAGTAAATGTACAGAGAACAGTACGGATTATATGAAAACTGATGTTAGGTTGTAAAGGGTTATGGTAATTCAGCTTATTATATAATCTCCTATGAAGCCATCTTTACATTAACATTTAGGATTCGTTGTGATTCTTTTTAGTCTGGCATGTCGATGTGCGGAAAAAGCTAAAAAGAAAGGATACACAGTATTTGGTCTACAGTTTTACGGCGAGTGTTGGAGCGGCCCAAATGCAGAGCTGAACTTCAACCGCGATGGCTCGAGTGATAGTTGCATCATGGATCTTCAAGATCCAACTAACTGCGACAAAAAATCACTCCAAGAATGTGTTGGGAAGCAGAAAACCAACTACATTTATAGACTGACAGACAGTAAGTTTGAATAGAAGTCTCAAGTTTTTTTCTAGATTAAAAAAAAAAACTTTTTTTGTTTTAGTTTTCATTTTGACGGACACGTGGCTGTTGGTCCTGCATGCATAATCTTGAAGTTCCGACCCACTGCCACAAAGTATCAGTACAAGAGGGCGTAGGGGAAGGAGCGGCAAAGACTAACTTCATCTATAATTGACAGAATACCAATGTAAAGTAAAAAGAGATTCTTGTCTGAGCCTAACTCCTTCCCCTATTTTTGCAATATTTAGACGAACACGTGAGGTTTTCATAAGAGTGTGGGAAAATCGTTCGATACACTTGCGAGAAACCAAGAGCAGCCATTTAAAGGGAAAATAACGGTCACTTACATTTTTCTTGTTTGCAGTCAATTCTTCCCGGTGCTTCCAACCACAAATGATCAATACCCCCATAAGAGACATGGTTTGATGCTACTCTGGTTTACAGATTTAATGAAAGTATCCGAAGAAGTTACAATCCATAGACCCAACGTTTCGACACTCCTGTCTAGTGCCTTCATCAGGGGTGATCTAAACGCTGCAACGAGAGGTCCTTCCTGATCATATAAAAGGACCTCTTGTTGCAGCGTTTAGATCACCCCTGATGAAGGAACTAGACAGGAGTGTCGAAACGTTGGGTCTATGAATTGTAACTTCTTCGGTTACATTCATTAAATCTGTAAACCAGAGTAGCATCAAACCATGTCTGATTGTCCACCTGGTTGCCATGTGAATTTTAATATTCCCCCATAAGAGTTCTCAGTGATCTGTTTGCTAGGAAGCTTGGGTCCCAACTGATTTAAGAATATTTTCAGAGGAAGACTTCGCTTGAAATTAGAAGATAAGACACTATGTGAACCGATGGTTTGTTTCATGCAGCTAGTCTCAATCATTCCGCATGTGCTGGTAAAACACCTATCCCAGGTGAACTTTCGCTCACATTTCTTACCGAGGGTTTTGACGATGTAAGTGCTATTGGTCTATCCTTTCACTCTTACTTTAGACCCAGGCCCTCAAACCCCTGATATTGATGGGGGCTTCACCAAGTGGTCTAGTTGGACTGAGTGCAGCAAGACATGTGGTGGAGGAGAAATGGTCCGTGAGAGGTCATGCACTAATCCTGCACCCCAAGGAAATGGACGGTTATGTTCTGGTGATAACGAGGAGGTCGCCCCCTGCAACAGCCAGGAATGCAACTGTAAGCTAAGTTTAGCCCTCTTCACGCTAATTTCAGTATATATATTCTACCTACTGTTCCCTATACACTTCCTTTGGTGCTGACAAGGAGAATTTGTTTTGCAATCAGGAACTTCTTTACATTTAGTTGGTGATCATTTCCTTCATTCTCATGACCTTAATTTTTGATTCAGGGGTGATATAGTAAGGAGATATTAGGTGCTAGTAACTCTAAGGGATCAAAGGGTGAAAAGCGGTATCGATGTATCTAAGTGATGTTTATTATAATTCCGTGACTTTTGTGACAGTCTCAGATACTACCTGCTAATTTTTGCGTGATCCTTTTGTCCGCAACGTAGACACAGCCGATGTACAGTCACGGGTATTTGTTACGCGATGCAATCACGCAAGTGAAGGCGAAACCGCTGATCTCCTAATGCCGCAATACGCCAAACAGTTCATTCTAAGAGTCGTTTTTTTCTCATTTACTAGATTGTGATATGATCATGGATGTTGGTATCATTATTGACTCGTCTAGTAGTGTGCGCCGTGCAAATTTCGGGAAAGTAAAGAACTTTTTGCTTCAACTTGTTGACAAAATGGACGTGAACGATAGCATGGTTCACGTGGGTGTCATCCATTACAACCACAAAGCATACCTGGACTGGAATTTAAAGTCCAAAGAAGCGATGAACGCCAATGATTTGAAAAAAGCTATTGAAGCCCTGAAGTATAAACCAGGAGGGACTAGGACTGATGTGGCCTTGGCTACAGCTGAAAAAGAACTTCTGAATTATAGAAATGGCATGAGGCCCGGTGTACCTCATGTACTTTTGGTCATCACTGATGGAAAGACGAGCTCGAGATCCGTTCCATATCCTAAAGTCCTTGAGCCATTTAAGGTATTGAGATTCTCGAATTTAATTAGCACGTAGGCCCCAAATTCCAGATCTCTTTATCTAAGATGCTAATATCTTATTGTGACTCTTACCCGATACAAATGAATATAAAATGAGCATTAGTGTCGTTCAGTTAGCATTGCCTTTAAAAAGCCAGCCTTTTCTCCTCGCATATGTAACCCCAACAACTCAAAACGTTATAGGTATATGAAACGTTAAATTTCCATATCTCCCCCCCTCTCCCCCTGCGAGAGAGGCTTTCGCCAGATAATTAAATTGAACATAAGCAATAAGCATAACCATTTTTTTTCAATCAGAAGGGAAACGTAAAGGTGATCGCCATTGGAGTTGGTAAGTTAGTGGATAATAAAGAATTAAAAGAGATTGCGATGGGCAACAACGGCAATGTCCTTCAAGTGGACAACTTTGACGCACTTGTGTCCAAGATCACAGATATCGTAAAGATCTCCTGTGCCCAAAGAAAACTTCAGTAACCAAGAGTAAGATTTTTTACTTTTGTATAACCTCATATTTAGTTCTATAGGTCTATTTCATAATTCTTTCCATAATTGATATAATAAAAATGGTGCACGTGAGATTGACCTCATCGAAGATATCACCCAAAAAACTAAAACATATCTGTATTAATCAAATTATCAAGCACGAAGTAAATTCTTAATCCTTTTTATCAAAATACAAATGGGGGATATGCCTTATCGTTGTAATCTCTTTATGCCCCTACTATAGCCTTGGACAAAAACATTCTTCTCCGTTCATGATCCCCCCTCCCAAAAAAAAAAATTTAATAAAAAAATAAGTAGAACAGAAAGGAAGGACACTTATGGGAGTCGATTCCTGCTTGTTTAGATTTAACTTTAAAACAAATATGGAGTAACACACATAAAAGACACTGAAAAACACTGGTTCTGGATTTCAAAGTTGTTGGTCAAAATCCTCATAAAAAATACACCTTCCTTGTCAATTGCAATTGTTGTTTATGTTGCTGATTTTCTTGTTGTTGTCAGTGCAACAGACTTGTTCTAACGTTGATACTTTTATAATTGCAGGTTATACTGAAGTAACTTGTGAAAAACTATAGCGGTGTCTCATTAAATCCCAGGGTTAAAGAAGCTAAGGTTTAGATTCATGTGAATTAGTGCGGTGTTGTCAGGAAACAATAAAGTTCTGTGACAAAGAGATTCTGAAAATATCTCCACTGAACTCGTTTTTCAGAACAACTTCCACCAAAACATTTTTCCGACTCAGTGTTTCACCCTTTTATCTCCCTCTCTCTTCCTCTAATCGTCCTTTCTACCATAGAAGTATTCTTGACAAAAATAATCACATCTGTGATAATCAAAGAAGCAGTTGCTCGTTAACCGCTCGTTGTGGTTTGCAATAGCGAGTGCATTAAGGTCACAGCAACACTATTCTATCTGTGATTCCAATTTAATCTTGAAGAGTTAGTTCCTCTGAAGCGCTAATGATGCATCTTTCAACAACTTCAAACGCGCTACGGTCGTGTAGCGATGACTAACCAGAGAGCAAATCTGGTACCAAGACTATCCACGGCTAAGCTGGACCACAACCCTCATTCCCAAGTAGGAACTTGGGTACGAGATAAGATTCCGTCTCGCTTGTAAAAGGTTACTCCTTCCGTATTTACGGGAAAAAATTATTTTAAGATAGGAAATGTGATGGAGAATACTTAGGCCAATATTTTCTCTCAGTAGTTTTTATTGCCCTTACCATAAATTGTTTCTAAATAAACGATCCATGAGCTATGCAACAATAAAGAGATGATTGTTATAACTCGTTGGGGTAGGGGACGCCTGTTGGAAGCAGCTTTGTTCTACGTTGATTGTTTAGTAAGGAAACAACACGCTTGCATTAATTGAGCATTCATCACACCAACGCATCGCATGTACGTGTCTGCCCTTTCGTTTGTGATAACCAATAAAACCCTTAGCAAATGAAATACCAACCCAATCAATTAACAAGTTTGTTAGTAACTGAAACTCGCGAAAACTCCGCAGGTGAGTTTTTATTAAGGACGGTTTCCATAACAACCAGGACGTTAACCAAAACAGACTTAAATTTGATAATTTGTTTTTAGTGAACCAAAAAGTCTATGTCAAAATACGCGTTGGAAAATCGATTTAAATTCCAACCAAAACAAGTTTGAATTTAAACGGGAAATTCATGTTTAACCACAGATATCTAGTCGAAACCCCTTCCCCTATTTAACTACTGCTGGCAGCTGCTCGAAGTAATTAAAAAAACTGAAAATTTCTATTCCTGTGGCTATTTAAGCTTTATTTGGAAGTCAACGAATCAGTGAAACGATATCAAACTATATTAAAATTAGTCTTTTGTGGTCTTCTTTGCTTTTCCCACCCTATAACAAACAAGACTATTTGAAGTCAGAATGCTTAATTTTCCCCAGAATGTAAAAGATAATATAAAATTCTTAATTCATAACCAGGACAGAATGCCAATAATAACTCCGTTGGATTTTGAGGAAGAAATTCGTAAAATCAATTGTCAGGCTTCTAAACTGCCTCCGATCACCAAGAGAAATGGTTATGAAAATCTTTGTAGAACAGAGGATAAGCTCCGCGAATATTTTTCACTCCCAGATATTTTTTCAACCGCAAAACGACGAACGCGAACTCGAAGACAAAGCAAGAAAAATGATGCGAAAAATACCAAAATGGAAGAAGAAAAGAAGGCCAAGAAAAAGAAGCCTCTTGCGATAGGAAAAACGACAAGAGAAATAACAAAATCATTCTCAATTGTTTCCAGTCCCGGTGGATCAAACTATTCGCTGATTGCAAGACGATCCTCCTCAAGAGTTGAAGAATTATTTGATGTGGAAGATAAAAACTTATGAAGAACATCACAAGAAGTTTTTTCGTCCAACAGGGGACAAATCATGAAGTGAACCCAGGGGTAAAGAAGTTAAGTGATTCAAAAAAAATCTGCTGTCTATATGAATTATTTAAAACAGAATTAAAAAGTAAGGCATTTGTTCGATGATCAAGGTATTTTTCATCCTTCAAACGAACACAAGCCGATAAAGAGGGAAACCTAAGAAAACCCACATTAACAGTACAAAACAATACTACATTTAGACAAAATATATCAACGTTTGATATTCTGAATGATCTATATTGGTAAAATTTAGATGCAGAAGAAATAGATGAACAAAATTTACTGTTAGCAATCGAGTTCACGATATTGATGAGGGCTGCCTTAGAAGATGTTCTGTCATACTTTCGATGTGCACTGTAAAATGAATAGCGTATCCAAATCTTTCCTTGTCTAACTTAGAAATAAGGGATGAAACATAATTATATATTTTGTTTTACCTGTAGTATATTAGAATATCCTATGTTAGAATTTCTTTGTTAAAGATAAATCTCGTTCCAGTCGGGTAAAACTGCTTGCTTCGCTTTTTCAATATCGATGTAACTTTTCGACTTCCACAATAAAATAAACCAACTCTGGTCCTGGAAATAAAATTCAAAAAAGGAAGGATAACGAAGCAATCAGATATTCAAGGATCATTTAGAAACAGATCCTTAGCCTAAGGGTCTTTTGTGACACATTTACACTTAACCCTTTAAAGGTGCGAGCTCATTAACTACTTGGAATCTGTCTAGATTACTTGGCTTTATGTGATCTGTTGAGCCAGTTTCGTACCCTGTCAAATATACTTATCGTGTATTTTGGTTTCCTGGCTTGGGTTTTCCTGCCAGCCAGGGAAAAAAAAACACCAGAACAAGGGCCTTAATGGACGCTCATCAATGGGGAAAGTTTAAATCCTGGATTAACAGTGACGCCTTTCCCACAAGCCGCCTCAAACTTGTGGTGACTTCGATTCGTTTGCATTTTCGAGGAGGTAGCTTGTTCCATGCTTTCAGTTTGTAAAACAGCGCGGCAGTAGCGGCGCAGCGAAAAATCAAGGAAAGTTTGGGCCAGGTTCATTACGCAAACAGACCCAAACCTCTATCGTTTTTACTGTACTATTGTACAAGCTCTACTATTGCACTAACTCCACTATTGTACTAACTGTACTATTGTACTAACAGTACAATCGAAGACGTGCTTATTCAAATTTTTCACGCAAATCGTGAAGAGATATTGGGTTTTGACCGTTTTTCGCAATAAAAAAATCCGCACGAAAGCAACAAAAGAAGTAAACAGAGCTGACCCAAATCAAAATTTTCCAACATTACCGCGTTCATAAGCTGAAAAATTATAAGTTTCTGGTTGTAATGAAGAGACCGATCATTATTTATCGCCTGGGGAGGGGAAGGGGGGGTTTGACGATTTTGGTTGTGTTACGACAAAATTTACCTGACCCCTCCTAAGGCTCTGTAGTATTCTTATATTTCCCCCCGTATTATTTCCTATAGTTCCCCATTTTTACTTTGTTGGCGACGACTGATCTCCCCCTCCCGTTACCCCTGAAACTGTGTGATGCCCCAAAAATCCCCTATCACCCCTCCCCCCTCAGCGACAAATACGCCTGGTCAATTATTGAACACAACCAGTACTATACATACGTTGTTGTCTCAGTACTCGTCCATAAAAATCGGAGAAAAGGAGGGGCGCTTATTCTAGGGGAGGTGCTAATTTGGAGATTTACATTATGTCAGTTTACCTCGGATTTTCTCGGCTGACTCGGTCAAACAGCGCTTTCCAAGAAGGTTTACATTTGTGCAATCTGCCTGTGAGCCATTTGTCTTGATGAGTCATGTTAATCTAATAAGAATGACATTAAGACACAAATGTTGCATGATAGAAATCTGCTTGCCACTGCTTTAACCGGTCTGTTATGAGACGATTTTCGAGTTTCAAATAATCTCACTTTTAGAAATTTTTAAAGTTCAAAAAAGGTGGCTCAGAACACTTTTGTCTCCTGTATCGTAAACTGTTACTGTTTTTGTTTAAGACCGAAACCACACATATATCAGAGGGACATCAATTATCGAAAGTTTTTACAATCGTGTTTCTCGTGGCTAAAACCTCGCGGTCCTGAGATACACCACCGTTAAATATTCTATGGGTAACTTATTCTGTCGTTCGAAAAAGCACCGCCAAATCTTCAGAGTATTTCACGCCCTTTGAATGTCATATTCAAGTAAAGTACTAGCAACAAGTAACCAGCTTCTCGATTGAGAAAAGATAAAGACACTGACGCAAAACGTGAATTGTATTCTCTGATATACACATTACCTGATCCTCTGACTGTGAACATGTAACGTAAAAGTTACATATAAGGAAATCCGGTCTGTTGCTCTCCCAAAGCTGAAGAAAAATAGAATGAAGTATTATTTCATTGTCATTTAAGCCTCGATCAGGCAGTTGGCTTGTTTTGACTTGTAGTTCTCATCGACTTTGATGTACACGACCCAGTGTTCCTGGCTTAGTACAATCATGTCGAAGGTCGATCTTATTCCCAGTGGTTGCATTCCCTTAATCCCTCGTGGTCTGGAAACGAAGAATTCCTCGTTTCCCGCTCGCAAGTCATAAACGTAACCTTCCCTCAAGGATTGAGATTGGTCGAACGTAGCTTATTAACTCCCCATTAGTTCTCGAAAAGTGAGGGCGTAATGCGCATGATTTGTATTTCAGGGGCATAGCTGTTCGATCAAGCGAAGATGTCTCTCGCAAATGATCATGGCTTTGCATCGCGCCGGGCAGAAGACGCATACACCGTATACATTAACTGCATTTGGTTCATGCGTCAGCTAGTGATCTTCGAAATATGAAGCGCACAAAATTTGGAGCCATGAAAAATGGGCAAGGGATTGCTGATATCAATTCTATCTTCTTGTGTGCTCCCCACACTTTCCAATTGTTTCATAAATCGATTAATGCACAGCTTTGCGTAAACCAACTGTTTTATGACATTTTCAATGTTCTAGTTTAAATTTTGTGCAAAATATAAATTCCCTAGGTTAGGGTTTACTGCTTACCCGCACAGCTTATATCAGCGTGCACAAAAGGAACACGAAGCACGTTGGCTGTTTTAAAAAGGTGATACATATATGAATCATGGAAAGTCAATACCTCAGTGAAGGTGGAACGCAAAAGGTCCAAAAACCATAGGAAAGACTGCGCATGTTTACACACCCACACAAAATACAATCTGTGCAGTTTGAGTTTCCTCCTTGTTCTTATCTTCTCTCTGCGAAAGACACAAATCCCATCAATTTACTCATCGTGATCAGATTTCACACTGATCCGATATGTAACTTTTCTTCTTTCAAACTTCAAACTCGGAGACGGCAGTATAATCACTTTATGAATAAAAAGAAGTTAGTTCTGTTGCACTGCAGTGCGAAGCCTTATGGCCAGGGTCTTCCAAAGCTATGTTTGTCTAAGGAAGTCTCAGGAAAATCCCTGAGTTTGAAGACTAAAACTTCTGCAGTTATTACAAAATCACCCGCTGATCGAGAGTTTTTAATATCTCTTCACCACCAATCTAGTCTTCATCCTCGTGGTTATTAGGGGTGACTGTTTAGGAAAACCATCAAAGTCACCAAGGAAAAAATTGATGCTGCAGTATGTGTTGGGAGCTCGCTGGCCTTTGCAATCTTTCAAAATTGTATACACATATTGAGACCGAATAAATTAATGACAAGTTTCAAAATGCTAAGAACGCTGCCGAACGTAATGCTCAATCAGGTCCAAAAACTAAAAAAACGTATACAAAAGAAAATGTCGGTTTTCCTTATCAGTCTCCTCAACTCGTTATGATGTCTTTAACGAACTAGTGTGTTAACGTTTCACCTGAGCTCCTGGATAAGAGCAGCGAAAGGCGTCACACCGATACCGGTCGCTATACATAGACTGACGTTGTACCGCCAAACGTCCTGGAAAGACAAACATCCTATTTATACTAGTTGAGATAGAATCATTACAAATGCGATATATGCGATTCGTCCACTTGAACGATGAGGGGAAGAGGGGGAATGGGGAAGAGGGGTAACTGAGCGGATTCATGGATGGGAACAGCGTCAAAATTTTAAGTATGTTTGTCATGTATCAAGCTAGGTAAATAAATGAATAACTGAAAATTATTTTTTTCAATATATAAAAAAAAATTCTGAGCAAAGATGAAACAACTCATCATACCGTGCACGGACTTCCGTATGGGCCATCCACAGAAATTCTTGTTTTAAAAAAAAAGACATGACATTTTAATATATGAGATACTAAAATTACTAAGCCCTCATCCCTTACTCACTTCGTGCCCAACAGAAAATTACTTAAGCATCATCACCTATAGCAGTCAAAGCTGTACAAACATCTACTTTAGGGAGACTGGGGCGAGCCTACAGATCATCTCAGTTCATTGTTTCAGTCAAAGTTGTTGTGTGCTTGTCTACCTTTGCAAATTTTTTTTAAAGATTTTTAAGTCAATTCTTTCACACCTTCAAAACGAATCACAACATTATGACGTGACTCCTTACAACGCATTTTCTTCTTCGGCCATTTTGCCCCCCCCAACATAACCTTTCCTCTTCCTTTCATGTGGACTGGTTAAAAACATATTTTCAACGCATTTCTTGACCTGAATTCTGTAATTTGCATCCAACAAAGCTGAGAATTTCACGTTTTCCTACATCACCTATGTATATATACTCATCACAGAGACTCTAATTGTGCACTTACTTTATAAAATGCCTCACATAACAAAGGTAATCTTCGTCTTGCTCTACAGAAGCCAGGGTTTTCTGGTTATCATCAAATTTCGCCGCTAATAGTCTATCAGCAAATTTCTCTGGAAAAAACGTGGAACGTTTAATCAGTATACTACTTATCAATACTCTTTTATCTTTTTAAACTCTGACAAGACTGTAAAAAGGAAATGATTCTGGAGTTAATAATGGATCATTGGTAGTCATGTGAGGTAAATAATGACAACCAACAATATAAGACAAAATAGTTCTGATCGCAGTATGCTTGAATAGCAGCCAGATTCTTTCAGATCCCCTCACTTCCACCACCCCCCCCCCCCCCCCCCCCTCTCTCTCTCTCTCTCTCTGTGCAGTGGAAAACTTTGTTTTCTCTGATTGTTCAACATCCTATGGATAATGGAGACCCTGTTGTAGCGAGCTGCAGCTTAAAAGTTACCTCTTCATACTTCCGAGGAAGTGTCTGAATCTGTCCCGGAATGTATGACCCGTTTTTACCTTGGTTTGTGTTCCTGAATGTAACAATCTTTGTTCTACCTACAACTGATTTGTCTAATAATTTTTATCCTTGACGTTTACGAGAGAAGGCACAAATGCAAGTTGATGCCGCATGTTTGTGGCAGTCTGCATCAACTCGCACAAATGTAAGTTGCTGCCGCATGTTTGTAGCAGTCAGCTCGACTAACTGTAATTGTCTTTTAAGAAATTGAATTAAAATGTTTTATGAACCAGGAATTGTTTTCTATTTTGCTTAGAAAAAATTCAAAAGCTACGGAAAAAAAATTTCTGAGCACTTGCGCAGGTTCTCGTATTATAAAAAACATCCCTCGATTTCTATTTTTAATTTATTTAATTTTTATTTTTTATTTACAAAATTCGCCCTGAGGCAGGTGGGCATACAATAGAATCCTAGGTCCCCTGCTAGGTAAACCCACCAGCTAACCATTCCCCTAAAAAATTGACAACCCATTCCCTGGAACCCCAGTAAAAATAATAGTGAAAAAAAAAAGGAAAAAAAATCACATACTTATTAGCAACGTGCTTTGGTTGTTGTTGTTATTGCTGCTGTTTTCCTCTATTTCAAGACCACAAAATTATATTTGGCAGGACTAAAAGGGCAATCACGAGCACCTCTGAATAAGCTACCTACATATGCATTATCACCTAACTGGAAAGAAGTTCATTAACAAAAAACGACTTACCGGTCCAGTCTCCCAAAATCTTAAAATGAATGGAGAATGATGAATCTTCTGATGAAGGACACTGTGTAAGAAGACATTGGTCACTTCAAATAAAAACAACCCTTCCAAACATGGATTCTTCGGATCAATATCAGTATATGAACAGCTGCGCATCCACCTCTCCCCTAAACCAGCATTAACCCTAACTTGTTATTCGTTTGTTTTGTTGGGTTAGGGGAGGGGAAGGTACGCAGTTGTTCAGATCCCGACGTTGATCCGATATCTCTTGAGTTGTAATTAGAAACTCTATATATGATGACTTCCTGTTTCCGATAGAGCAGCTTTCAATTGGGTTAGGGGAGGGGTAGGTGCGCAGTTGTTCAGATTCTGACATTGATCCGATATCTTTTGAGTTGTAATTAGAAACTCGATATATAATGACTTCCTGTTTCCGATAGAGTAGCTTTCAATTGCGTGTAGAAAATAATCTGGGATTAAGCTATTTTTTGTTCTTTGAGGTTAGTCTGAAAAAAGTTTACTAAGCCCTTAACCAATTGAATACAAAAACCAATCGAAGTTTGACCCACGCTAGGGGCACGTTATATACATATGCACTCTGATTTGCGGTTTCTTGTAATATGGCCCTTGTTGTACTTGCTATTTTAATTTGATTCTGCGATTAATCAAGAAAGATCGTCGTAGTCATATGCATACGAGAAAAAAAAACATTATAGTAGATGTTCAGTATAATAGATGTATAGTAGATGTTCCTTCTAGAAACAAAAGAATCGCACTAGCAGCCACTTAGGCGTAACAAAACTCTGAGAGCTTGCTCGCGAGCTATAGCTAGAGAGAATGATTATGCAAGTTTGTTCATTCTTCCTTTTTAATGCAAACAGGGTCAAGAAGTTCTTGATTGAGCTATGGTTGGGTCACTTTGTCTTGCTCTTGGGCGAGATACTCTACTTACACTATGCCTTTGTCCACCCAGGATTATAAATCGATACAGGAGAGTTGTCAGGGAAACGGGGAGGAAGGGTGGAGTAGGGGCAACCTGTGATGAACTGATATCCCATCCAGGGGGAATATTCCTGTTCGCTTCATGCTTAGGTAAGCGGGATAAGCTCTGGCACCGTGTGGGCCTTTTGGCACAGGTACCCACGTTACCGCTGCCTTATAATTACTGCAGTAGTGAACCTCACCTGAGTCAATGTAAAGGGGTGCCACTCAAACCTAGATACATCTGCACATTTGATGAACACGTACTAAAACCAGACCGGCAAAATATTTCAGTAATAATATGATAACTTATAGAGTAAAGCAGGCATTAAAAGCAGTGTTTGTCTTTACTTGAGGATAAATTGGTGGTGATAAATAGGAAATTATCCTTTTCTTCAGAGTATAATTCTCAACAGCAATTTCATTTCTTGTGCTTCAATTTAGCTCTTAACCTTTTTTCTTCCACTTGTGATTAAAGAGAATCTTCTCAAAAAAGTCGATTAATATATTTTTAGGCAGAAAGTTGACGAAAAGAAAGATACATATCATTTATAAATATATTCTTTGATATAACAACAAATTCTTGGAACTAAAATCGAAACAAACGTGTACCACACAGTGCGGAGGGTTGACATTACGTTCTCAGGATTGATTTTGACAGTTTTGTCAGGTAAAGGCTCGCGCCAAAGTAATTGGGTTAGGTTATCGAGATATTTCATCCACAATGTTAAGTACATGAGAAGGTGAAGTCATCATACCTGCCCTGGTGCTGCTGAAAACTTCTGTTTTTTCATTTTCACCTCCACCACTCCATCCCTGTGTTGAACCACCTGACAGTCGTAAGAGAAACAAGAGAAGAGAGGTTAGTTCTGCAATCCAGAACTTAGCAAATAATGATCGAAAATCTGTGTTTAAACCACACTTGTCCACCGTTATTTTCTTATCAGAAGGAGAAAACAGCATGGAGTAATTCAAGGGCATCTGAAAGTTTGAAAGTAGAGGCAAAATTCTTTACATCAATAAGTTCCACTTTCTGAAAGCTTCTGAAAACTCTTGTAAGTCGCTCCGTTACGTAAATGAGAAGAGGAAAAACACACCATTTCCAGGCCTAGAAATTGAAAACAAAGAAACATACAGGTGAAGACAAGGAATGCATAGTTGTCCTATAACTAAGAAATATCATAAATTAGTTTTTCTACATAACTTTCTTCTAAGAATGGCTTATAAACTTCAACGCTCTGCAAGGAAGTTCATCCATGATATCCATAAGAGGCGCCCATAATAACGGTTCTTTCGTTCGCTACCAGCTAACGAAGCATTTGAAAGTGTCTTCACCTACTTCTCGATAAATTTGAAGTTAATAAGGTTTAATGGAATGCTTGTCCCAGTAAGTTTGTACCTCGCATACGGAGAGCGACAAATTCTTTCTAGCATATTTTTAAAGCCATCCTTAATCGCTTCTTTCGCTCGATTCCACACAACTAAACATTTGTATATATAGGCTGCGCACAACTTTATGCTAGACGAAGAACTGGAACTCAAATAACTTCAAATCTTGTCTCGGAAATATTGTACATCATACGCCAGAACGTTCCTTTGAAGAAAATACTGTATTTCGAGTTAGTGTTCACTATTCATGTCTGTCTGCTGTCTGGGATTTGCCTCCCGTTGGATGTTCATTCACAATCAGTCGTGAGGCGATGCACAAGTCACGTGATTATTTCACCGTTAGGGCTGTCGGAAGTAGCTTTGACATCCGGTCGTTTTGATAGGAAGAAATTTTGGGTGTAGCAGTAAATTTGAGGAAGTTGCAAAACCAATATCGAAACGAGGAAAATCCAATACAACAGATATTCTGTTCGCACTTGTTGGATATGAAGATTTCTTATAACCAACTCGTTATGCCTCATCGACACAATCTACCTCCGGCTCATCTGCTTGAAAGACTGGCTCCTCTGAGCACCATACCACGTGACTGGTATTTGAAATCTTGGTCTTATTTTCAGCCATTTTACATCCGGGGGAGTGAGTATCCACGTTCACTTGGTGTTTTATCACTCCTCTAGATAAGGAAAAAAATCAAAGACGGAGATTCACTCCTCAGAAACCATGCATATGCACAATTTTTTTTGTTCGAAGCCGAAAATAAAATAATATTTTAAAATTTACCTCTCTCTGCGTTTTTAGATTGTAAAGAGTACGTTCTGAGAATATAATTATGAACGCCGCCATGTTGAAAAACGACTTTGCCTTCAACAGCTCCTAAAATGGTCTTCATAAAAATCATACAAATTTAACAGATCCTCGCAGCTAAGAACTTTACTGAACTAGTAGTTGAAAATAGGAAA